CACTGGCCCAAATTAATCCATCCCTGGTTAGGAGGCATTAAAGCACAGCTGGGTTCTGGTATCTGCTCAGTATGCAGCAGCATAAAAAACAAATATATAGTTGGTGCATTAAGAGAATATTAAAGAACAAATGGCAATGACATAAATTAAACAATTAAATGTCCCCTTCTAGGGCATTGTGCCCGTTTTTAGTCAACCTATCTCAAGAAAGATGTGGCAGAGACTGAAAATGACCAGAGCCAGGCAACTAAAATGTTTAGAGGGAAGGCACGGACCAGAATTAGTTAGCGTGGGAAAAAGAAGAACAAGAGGGGACTTGACTGAGGTATTCAGACTTAGGCTGAGCATAATGGAAAAATGAACAGACCCTTCTTTTATCTTGTTATGATGATATGGTAACAACTGGGTCCATTGGTGAAGGATAAATAAAAGGACATCTCTGTTTTTTCAGCATTTAATCAGTGTGTGGATTACACTGGTGCAGGAGGTCACTGAGGGACCAATCCTGCTTCTCTAATTCTGGCAATTTTGAGGAGCTTTGCCTGTCTAAGAAGTGTAGCTTTGATAGGGCACATACACCTTATTCCCTTGTGACCCATGAAGGAGCTGAAGCCTTACAGTGGGCACAAAAGAGGTGGCTGGTTTTGAAAGAGCTATCAGACCTGGAGGGAAGAGATGGCAGCTGTGGCTTGTTTGGCTCCTGGACAGAGGAATGGACAGCTGTGCCTCCTAGGTATGGAAAAAATAGAAGAAAGTAGAGGCTTCCAAGGCCTGTGGGTGGTATGTTCCTAGCAGGGGAAGGAAGCTGCTCTCCAGCTGATCCAGGGAAGAGCACACCTGAATAGGTATCTGGGGGAATTTGCTGCCTGCCTGAACTAATGGAGACTATGGTACTGCCAAAGAGAGCACCCATAGTCAAATTGTTCCTGTCTGTTTGGTATGGACACCTGGAGTGGACTCAAGAAAGCTGCCTGCATTTGTTTTATTTCTGTGGGACCTATGGCCAAAGGAAAACCGGTGTGTTGCTTCCTCTCGGACAGAATAGTTGATTTTCCCAGCCTTTTTTAAACCTGCTTACACAGGCTAGTACCTCAACCCTTGGAGTGACTAACAGTCCTGTTACAGCACAATTGGCTCTTGAGCCAAATGCACTGGCTGGATTTTAAAAAGCAATGGGATATTTTTGACCACTAATAAACAAAACAATTATATGAGTTGTAACAGTAGCTGCTGCCTCCTGCCATGTATCAGAAATCTGACCTTTTGTAACCCTGACCCATGTTATTGGGAGCAGGAAATGAAGTGGAGTCTGACTCCTGTGTCATACCTTTATTATACATGGATAAACACACCTCATGCTTATGAGGGAATTGTTCCCATTTACCAACACAGCACAGCTGGCCTGTGTGTGTGCATGTGCGTGTGTTGGAGGGGCGGGGGAGGCATTGAAGAGGAGCTGCCTTCCTTGAAAGCATCAGATGCTGCTGGCAGCAGGATAGTTTGCTAGACAGTCTGATTCGGAATGGTAACTCCTGTTCCAAAAGGACCTTTGATGCCATTAACAAAACATGAGGAAGCAAGTAATGTAAAAAGTGTTTAAACCACACATGGCTTTTGTTAAAGTCATTGTGTTGTGTAGCTAAAGCCATGCTCAACCTTTTGAAAACATCCCATAGTGAATTAAGTGAAATAGGTTAGAGCTAGGTTGTCCCTTTACATTTAGCTCTGTGCTGGGGAGGGGCTGTGCTGCCCAAGGAAGGAATTGTGTCTCTTTTTCCCTGCTCTGTTTCCTCTTGGGAGAGAGTAATATCTATTACTATGGCACCCACCCTGCATTAGCTCAGCTGTGCTGGCTCTGAGTTAAGTGGGCAGAGTCAAGATTCCCCCCACTCAGCGGAGCAGGAGCACCAGGTGCTCAAGACTTTATCTTAAGAAGGGCTTAGTACCTGTAATGTCTATTCATTTCTGTGGGAGCTGTGATTACAATGGGCCCAGATCCACAATCTCACACAGTACGCTCTCGAATGAACACACACAGGAAAATGTTAAAAGACAAAAACGCCCTAGCACCGGTGGGTGAATACCCTTCACAAAGCAATCACTCCATAATTGACCTATCAGTCTTCACCCTCAAAGGAAGCCTGCCCAACACTTTCAAAAGACAAGCCTGGGATCTTAAATTCATAACTTTACTAAAAATGTATCTTAATAAAGACACTGGATTTATGGTTTATTACAACAATCTGGAACCCACTAACCCCCCCTTCTGTCCAATGACTACAGGGGTGTTAATGGTCCACTTCACCTTGAGTGTCCCTTAGAATATATGCTAACTACTTACGCTAAACTATTTGTTCAATCTTGTATTTAGCTGTCACACTTTGAAGAAGACCTGACCTGAAGAAGAGCTCCATGTAAGATCCAAGACTTGTCTCTCTCACCAAGAGAAGTTGGTCCAAAAAAAGATATTACTTCATCTACCTTGTCTCTCAGATCCAGAAAAGTGTTTAGGCTCCTAGCTTCTATTTAGGAGCCTAGATATCTTTGTGGATCTGGGCATATGCTCCTATTAAGATCGTGATCCCCAAATATAAATTGTTAGAGTCGGTGTTGTGTGGTCATAGTGTTAAACTGTAATCTGTTGCATTGATGGTCCTTTCAGGGCCATTCATGAGAATATTTCTGGAGAGGGTGAGTTAATGAAATGCAGTGAATATTTTAGTGTTTTAGCTAATTTCCAACTTGGATAATTACATTCTGTTTATCTAAATTTCCTCCTGCAGTTTGTTTTAGATACAGTGTATTAGCTCATTTCATCTGGATATTCGGAGGCATCTATTTGTAAAACACTTTGTACAAAAATGCAAAATAACTTCCTTTCCTCAGTTGCTATGAAGTATAACTGTGGAATGTGAATTAGCTACTACCTTCTATCCCAGAGATAGCACAGGTATGTGGAGTAAGAGAACCCTGTGTACCTATTGAGGCCCTGGTGATAGGCAGGCGCAAGCCCACCCGCATCTAAGGCCCCCCTTCCCCAGCCTAAGGGAAGGAGCCACTGGACTCAGGCAACAAAAGATTACGGGGGGACAACAAAGGAAAAATCAGGGACAGGAATGTCAAAAGCAGGGATCCGGAGGAGGACAGAGAGCAGGGAACTACAAACAATGCTCACTGCTCCTCAAAGGCATCCAGGGAGCCAGTGCACACAGTCCAGAGGAACTCTGCCCAGAGATGTGACTTAAGGGAAGATCAGAAGTAGGCCCCACAGTTGCAGAGCGCCTCCCTGTCCAGCTTCCTCCTCCTGGTATGGTGGACAGCCACCTGGGCCCGCACCAGGAGGAGGTTGGTGAGGAGGTCTCGTGACTTTGTGGGGCCACGGATGGGGTGTGCATAGATCAGGGAGTGCAGGGAAAAATGCAGCAAGAACTTAAGAAGGTTCTGGAGGAGCCGGAAAAGGGGCTGCAACATAGCACATTCGATGTAGATGTGTGCCATGGTCTCCCGTTCACTACAGAAGGGGCAGGTGTTGGGGGAGGTGGCGAACTGCTCAAGGTAGATGCCCATGCTTACTGCTCCATGAAGGAGCCGCCAAATAATATCCCCAGCGGGCCGTGGGACCAGGGTGGAATATGGACTGGCCCATTGGGGTTCCTCGCCCTCCATGGGTGGTAGGAGGTCCCACCACTTGGTGTCAGGATGGGATACAAGGGTGAGGAAGTGAAAGGTGTGGAGCATTAACGTGTATAGCTGTTTCCTAGGCATGGTTCAGAGGTGGACCAGCTGCATGTCACGCAGATGGCTCAGGTGGTGCATAGGGAGTGGGCAGGGAGGCTCACCGGGCAGAGGCCCGAAGGTGAACTCTGGAGGGTCAGGAGTGAGGGATGGGCGGGGAGCACCCCCATAAGGATCCACTTCAGGAGAGCCTGGAGGTGGGTGGTAAGGCTGCCATCACATCCTGGAGTATATGATGGGGGAATATATGATGGGGGACATGAGGAGTGGAGAGCCCCATGTGCCAGCTGAGTGCCAGGGGATCCACCCAGTCCTTCTGGTTGTAGTCCAAGACCAATCTCTGGCACACCGAGGGGGACTCTGCCACCTGCACACCAAAATGGAGGTTGTGTTGAATATGTTCCGCAAGGAAGTCCTCCCCCTTGGTGGCTGCTGTGGACCTGGTCGCTGAGACTAGCTTCCAGGTCCTGAATTGAAAAGACCGGCATCTCGGGGAGGTCTCGGAGGAGACCCCTTGGATCGAGGTAGAAGAGTTGCCGGTCATATCGGAGGCAGCGGAGGAAGGTGTGCATCAGTATATTCCACACCAGACTACCAGCACCATAAAGGAGTCTCTGAGGGCCTAGAGGTGGAAGACGTGGAGCTGACTGCTGAGTCGGAGCAGGCCCTCCTCCAGGGGGAAGAGATCCCTGTGTCCCTGTTTTAACTGTGTAAGGTTCTTTGGGATGAAAGGTGCAAAATGTTTCTTTTAAATGTTTAAATGGTTGGGTTGGTGTTTCCTTTGTTAAACTGACCTCTTCGCCCTTGCCATGCCACAGGCCCAAACTGCAAAGCACTTCAGTGGGATTTAAACTGTGTGGAAGGGGAGCCTATGTTATAAAACACAGGGTGCAATTATAAAATAACAATGGTTAAGTAGAAAGGCTGGATACAGACACTCCTTTGCATCCAGTACTTTCTCTGAAGTCATCATGACTTTTGGGTGCACAAGAAATATGGGAATCGATTGGGCACTTGATGACAGCCTTGCAAAATTCTGTTTGCCCAGCTCAGGGGGCTTTGGTTTCTTTTCTTTTTTGGACTGGCTCATAAACGATTCGATTTTGTTCTAATCTCATGGTAAGGCCGGGCGAGTAGATTTCGGGGCTTGGTAAAATATTCACAACTCGTTTGGAAAGCTGCTTTGTGGGGCTGTTCTTGAGCCCGAGGGGGAGCGGAGGGGACACAGCCCAGAAAAAGGAGGGTTTTAATCGCTCAGAGGCGAGGCGAGGCAAGGGCTGGGGCTGTGTTGCTTGACCCGGGACGGCTGGAGCCAGAGGGAGGTGAGCACACGGGCGTGTCGTGTTGTGTGCAGCCCCAGCCCCCTCTCCATCCCGTTCAGCCTGCCCACCGCGAGGACCTGCAGTCCCCCGCCATCCCCCAGTAGCGAGGCTCCGCTGGCTGCAGGCTGGCGGCTTCTCCCGGGACTTCACGCTCCGGAACATGGCTGCGCTGCCCGCTCTCCGGCTGCTGCTGTGCTGCTTGCTGTGGGCAAGGAGCCGGGCCAGCTTTCCCGCGGAGCCGCCGGAGGGCTCGGCCCCTTTGCCGGAGTCCCCTTTGCAGAAGCCCACCGTCTTCATCGCCATCCTCGCCAGGAACGCTGCCCACGCGCTGCCCCACTGCCTCGGCTGCCTCGAGCGGCTGCGCTACCCCAAGAGCCGGCTGGCCATCTGGTAAGGCGCGGCGCGGGGCGGGGGAGCCTGGGGCGCCCCGCTCGGGGGCTGTGCGGCGGGGGGCTGATGGCCCTGGCCCGGGCCAGCGGGAGGACGCGCTGCTTTGTGGGGGAGAAAAGTTTCTGGGCAGCTGCCCTCAGGAACAGGCAGCGTCTGTCTGGCCAGTGCGGGGGGGGGAGAGAGGTCCGGACGGCAGCGAAAGGGGGTGGGGGCCGGGCACGGGAAAGGGGGAAGTAGTGCAGAGGCTAGGAGGGAAGGGGTGCAGGTTCAGGGCAGAGCCTAGTAGGGGGTGCAGGTCTCGGGACAGTGCAGAGGTCAGTAGAGGGGGGCAGGTTAAGGGGGTAGTGGAGAGATCAGGAGGATGTGTGCTAACGGGTTAAGGGGGAAGAGGTTGGCAGTGCACAGGCTGAATTGGGGTGCAGGTAAAGGGGGGACAGTGCAGAGGTCAGGAGGGGTGCAGGTCACGGGACTGTTCAGATGTCAGTAGAGGGGGCAGGTTGGGGGGGGCAGTGCAGAGGTCAGGAGGGATGTAGGTTAAGGAGGGACAGTGCAGAGGTCAGGAGAGGGGGGCACGTTAAGGGGGGGCAGTGCAGAAAAGCCAGGAGCATAATGATAATAAAGCGAGGGGACAAGTAACCTGCTGCCTCCAGCGCTGCAGGGATTGAGGGCAGTGATTTTCAAGCTTTTTTCATTTGCAGACCGCTACAATATTTCAAATGGAGGTGCAGCCCCCTTTGAAAGTCTTAGCCATAGTGTGCAGAGACCCAGGGATCCAGGGACCACAGGTTGAAAACCGCTGATCTAGGGCAAGGTGTCTTTGTCTTTGCTGAACATGTGAGGGTTCCCTGCGTTTCAAAGGACTCCTGATACCCTGAGCAAGAGGCACTGCACCTCTTCAGGCAAGAGGTATCAGCCAGGGGCTTCCCTCTGATCCTTTTCTGTGCTGTGATTTCCTAGCCCTAGCTGTTCTACTGGAAACGAGGATCCTTCCCTACTGCATTGGCTGGGATCAGGACGAGAGCAAAGCTTTGCCAACCCTTTGTGTTCTTAGCTGTAAACTTTCCCTGGAGCTCCTGCTTCCTATGGAGAAAGAGATTTTTTGGAAGGAGCTGACAGCGTGGCTCAGACTCTCGGGGTAACTCCGCCCCATCCATGCTAAGAGGGGAGGGCTCCAAAATTAATCCCCTTCTCTGCAACCTCCCCACATGGCTTGATACATTAAACCAGGAGCAGATGTCCACTAGGCTCTCCGGAGGAGAGCAGCACATGCATCCCAAACTATGGAATGTTGTATTGGCTATAAAGGCCATGAACACACTGGAGGTAGATAGGCAATGATGTGTTTGGGAGGGCAGGGCAAGGCACATAAAGGGAAGCAGGAATTACAGCTCATGTTTTAACAGCCAAGAAAAACTTTGACTGAAACCACAGTTTTGTTGCAGGTTTTGATGGAACTTTGCCCACCTGCAAGCTTGATTGTTGGGGATAATGCTTGATTCTTATGCAAAAATCCAGTCCTGGGGCCAAAATGAAAAACCAAAGGCTTTTTAGGGACAAATTGCTATTATATTATTGCCATTATTATACCGATTGAACTGCTGTACTTCAGTTATTGGAGAGACAAGGTGGGAGAGGTAACAGCTTTTATTGGACCATCTTCTGTTGGTGAAAGACAAGCTTTCAAACTACTCTGAGCTCTTCTTCAGGTCATGTTCCTTAGTTATATTGAAGTATTTATGATGTGATGTTAGGCGTGCTTAAAGCATATATGAATAAGTGCCTTTCAGTATCTGTGTAAATCCAAATAAATGAAATAAATAACATATCTCAGTAAAAAGAACTGATTTCTTAGTGCTAGCTAGCTCTTAAATATTAGTATTTTGGGGATGTCCTAGAGGTAGCATTTGGCTGGGTTGGAAGGTGATCATGCTTAATAGGTGCTGGAGGGCATTGAACAGAATATATCCAATAGCATTGGCAAGATACATTAAGAACACCATAGCTCATGAGCAGTGTGGTAATAAAACATATTTTGTAGGAAAGGAAGAAATTGGCCTTGAATTCAGTTAGCCTGCTGGTATCTGAAAGGGAAAAAAATCCTTTCTACTCAGCCAGACATTAGTTATACATGATTGGAGCAACAGAAGCTGGTAGATAGGATTCTAAGAAGTAAGAACTTTTGTGGGGCCAAGATTTAAAGTAAGAAATGCTGTTTTAGAGCTTGTACCTGATCCAAAGTCCTTTGAAGTCAATGGAAAAATTCTTCTTGATTTCAGTGAGATTGGATCAGTGATTCAGGAAGGAAGACTAGATTTTTAGGACTCATCAATACCAATGGAAGCTTGCATTAAATTACTTAATCAAACATGGACAAATATCCCTATATGCATTTCAGGGAGATAGTGGTTATTTACCTTCAAATACTCTACAGGTCTCTACAGAAAATTAGTGACTAAAGAAATGATTGCTTCTAATCCTCATGTATCATTATTTGGAAGTGGGATCTCTGTTTTGTGCACTATGATGTCAGCATAAGTATTGCATTCTGAACTATGGACCAGCAACATGACTTAGAACCATAAACGGACATGTTAGGGGTAAATGAACAACAAATGCATGTTTTAAGGATCTGAGTGCTGGAATACTTCTCAACAATGTGTAACATAGCTCATTTTAGAAGTTTGTCTCTGGGCTAGTATGGTTTGCTAAGCATGTACTCAATTCTGTTTTCATGTCAGTGGGAGTCCTAGGTTTACACTTAGTTATTAGACATGTATCAGAATAAGTTTACTAGACCTTAAACCTTGCCTGCAATTCAGCTAAATATGTTAACCTGACATTAAAAAACCCCACATGAATGAGACAGAAGTTCAGACCTGATAACTAAACAGGATATATCAGGGGGTCTCAAACTGGGGGTCCTGACCCTTTAGGGGATTGCAAGGTTATTACGTGCAGATCACAAACTGTCAGCCTCCACCCCCAAACCTTGCTTTGCCTCCAGAATTTATAATAGTGATAAATATTTTAAAAAGTGTTTTTAATGTATAAGGGGGGGGGCGCACTCAAAGGCTTGCTGTGTGAAAGTCCATAGTGACAGAATCATTCTAGGGTAGTGATTCTCAAACTTTTTTTTTTGTGGCCCACTTGAAAATTGCTAAGGATCTCGGCGGACCACTTAATGATCTTTCCAAATGTTGTTTGCACTGTTAGCTAACTATGTAAAGGACTTTGGATAAAAGCGCTATATAAAAAAACCTTAATAATAATTAACATTTTTTGTTCTACAAATAAAAGCACACAATTCATATTTTAATATCAGTAGTCTTACCTTTCTAATGTGATGGCTGTGCCCTCTCTCCCCCATCGCGGCAGCCATCGAGATGGGCTGGGAAGGAGGGCTGTCTCTTCCTGGCAGCCGCAGCCCTGGAACTGGGGAAAGTCGCCTCTTTCTCTGGCCGTGGCAGTCCTGCACGTCCCAAATTCCCCCACCTTCTCTTCTCACACCACTGCCCCCTCCCACCTACCCTCTATACCTCCGAGACCACCACCTCACCTTACATGTGCGTCTTCTCCAGGGTCCAGGCACCTAATTAGTGGAGTCATGCCTGTGTGGCTCCACTAATTAGGTAGGTAGCCCTTCATTCTCTCATGTGCAGCCACTCAGGCGTGTGCCTTAGAGGGAACTATCCGCGGACCACCTGAATGGCGCTCACGGACCACTAGTGGTTCCAGGACCACAGCTTGAGAACCTCTGGGGGACTGCCCATGCAATTACAATACAAGATGGCTAACAATACGGTGAGATTCATTTTCAAAATTAAAGACAAGAAACTGAAAAAATGAGAGAGGTATTTTTAAAAGGGGGCCCTACACAGAGGTGATGTGTGGCTAACATTGGCAATGCCTCTGGAAAAAGTGTCCATTTTTTTTTAAAATGAAGAAAGAAGGTCTAATGTGGGTATGCAGTGAAAAAGGAAGTTCTATATCCTATGGATTGCCTTAGAGAAAGATTGATTGTCTGATGATATAAGGCATGATGTAGATCTTCTTAAAGGGCTGTTCCCACTGAAGTCAATAGCAAAACTTCCACTGGTGTGAGATGGTGCTCAGAGGCATGGAGTATCCCCAGAGACTGATATGAAACAAATGAAGCTCTGCAAGCAATAAGAGGAATTTTTCTGAGGTAGATTGCATTTCGACCTACTGTGTTTGACAGAGTCCCTTTAACAGATAGGATTTACCTTTACCATACAACAGGGTTCCCAAACTTTTTTCCCTGAGGCCCATCTGTGCGGCTGAAATAGGCACCGTAACTCACTATTAACACTTGTTGAGCAAAATTATTAATTTTAATTATTACCTACATATAAACTATAACACTGTAAATAAACAATGTAGATGTGTCCTTTCCATTTTAATGTAAATAATGGTAATGATTGAAATCCCTAATAATATGCACTCAAAGAAATGCGTCAAGATCTTTGAAAGCAAACAGTTTTAGTAAAATTACACTTTAAAAAAATGTTGAGAGCAAAATGTGAAAACACAATGTATAAATGTACAATATATAAAACTGAACAAAAAGAAACACAATAATGTTAACAAAATTGTTAAAAAACAAATTGTGTTATTTCTTGATTTTAAAACAAAATAGTTGTCCAGCTTTGAACATTATATTGTGTTTTCAATTTTTTTGGGGTGTAAAATCTGAATTTGTGTGCTGTGTAAGTAAAGACCCAACCCTATTCTCTACTAATTAGAAAATAATCAAATATTGTAAATAAATATATAAAATAACACTTGTTATAACACTTGTTATATTATAACAATGGGTACTCATCCGATCCGGCAAAGGAGAATCCAAACTTCAAGTATGTATTATCATATTTTCTTATCACTTTCTTTATTTTTTTGAATGGCTCATTTCATGTAGCCGTAGATGGTCTGGGACTTTCATTATCTTCTTCACCGGTGCTCCCTTCTCATTTTCGAAAAAT